ACGTCATCTGCGAACAGGGACACTTCAGAGTATTCCTTCCATCATGTCTTTCACATATATCAAAAATAGCACTGGTCCTAGAACTGACCCCTGTGGGACCCCGCTCATAACAGGCGCCCACTGTGATACCTCTTCATGTACCATGACTCGTTGCTGCCTCCCTGTCAGGTATTCCCTTATCCATTGCAGTGCCCTCCCTTTTACGTGCGCCTGATCCTCCAGCTTCTGCACTAATCTCTTGTGGGGAACTGTGTCAAAGGCCTTCCTGCACTCTAGGAAAACGCAATCCACCCACCCCTCTCTCTCTCGTCTTACTTCTGTTACCTTGTCTGTGTGTGTGTGTGTCTGTGTGTGTGTGTCTGTGTGTGTGTGTCTGTGTGTGTGTCTGTGTGTGTGTCTGTGTGTGTGTGTCTGTGTGTGTGTGTCTGTGTATGTGTCTGTGTGTGTGTCTGTGTGTGTGTGTGTGTGTGTGTGTGTCTGTGTGTGTGTGTCTGTGTGTGTGTCTGTGTGTGTGTCTGTGTGTGTGTGGTGTGTGTGTGTGTGTGTGTGTGTGGTGGTGTGTGTGTGTGTGTGTGTGTGTGTGTGTGTGTTGTACTCACTGGTCACTGACGTGTATAGTGCTTCGTTTCTGTCTTTTTTTAAAGATGGGGACTAAATTTGTGTGTGTGTGTGTACTCACCTATTTGTGGTTGCAGGGGTCGATTCATAGCTCCTGGCCCCGCCTCTTCACTGATCGCTGTATAGCCCTTGTGGCTTAGCGCTTCTTTTTGATTATAATAATCTTCACTGATTGCTACTAGGTCCTCTCTCTCCCTGCTCCATGAGCTTTATCAAACCTCGTCTTAAAACTATGTATGGTTCCCGCCTCCACTACATCACTTTCTAGGCTATTCCACGGCCTGACTACTCTATGACTGAAGAAATACTTCCTAACATCCCTTTGATTCATCCGAGTCTTCAACTTCCAATTGTGACCTCTTGTGTCTGTGTCCCATCTGTGTGTGCGCGCGCGCGTGCGTGCGTGCATATTTGTTTATATATATATATATATATATATATATATATATATATATATATATATATATATATATATATATATATATATATATTAATAATACATTACATTTAACTCTAGCAATATCCAAAATATTTTCGTATTATTTAAATAGTAAGTTCCATGTCGAATTTTTTGGGGGGAGATTAAGTAATTTCTCGTGAATACATATTAATATAAAAATCTATGTGATACAAAATTCATTGCTCACCTAAATTTATATCGTTTGAATAGCATGTTGACAAACTTTCTGAGTATTCATTAGTACTGAGAGATAGATGACGGTCGCCAACAAGACCAGCCTGATGGAGGAGGCACCGTTGATACTTTTGTTCCTCCCTCACCACTAACATTCCTTCTGAAATGGATATCACAACCCCGAAAACCTGCCAAAGAAAGCATATACAACATTCAGTTACAAGAGCATCTCTTGTACGTAATACTTTCCTTAAGATATTGAGATATGGCATTTATTCCATTATTAATTCTCTTGATCTAGGGAATTGGATCTGTGCTCCAGTTCCCTGAATTAAGCCTGAATGCCTTCCATCCCCCCATAGGCGCTGTATAATCCTACGGGTTTAGTGCTTCCCCCTTGATTATAATAATAATAATAATCCATTATTAATTTGGCTTAGCGCTTCTTTTTGATTATAATAATAATTCATTATTAACTGAGTATGCGTCTTCATACCGGACCTCTCCAGGGAAACTCCAACTTTTAATTTTCCTCTTGCACTTCCTGCCCCCATTAACCCCTACTCTTGCACACTCCTGCCCTTCACTCCATCAGCACATCCCTCCTTGCAGCGTTGTATGACCCTTTCGGGTTTATCGCTTGACTTGATTATATCTTCACAAGGAAGGCTCCTGGATGCCAGTGAGGAGCTCATGATTCAAGAAACTTAGACTCATTCTTCTCTTCCATTGAAAGAACCTCGATGCCTCCCATTCCCAGGTGCTATATGGCCCCAACGGGTTTAGAGCGTCTCTCGATTAAAATAAAATTTATATCGTCTTCAAACTTTCAACTGTGGTTAGATTTAAGTGGTCTTTGTAAGCGTCAAATATGTCAATTTTATAAAAACTGGGGTACTATATGTACTTATCCTTCTGGAGCACTAGACCCTAGTGGGTTTAGCGCTCGGGTTTGATTATAATAATTCTGGAGCACTAAGAAATTGGTGTGTCAAGCTGAAAAATTAAACTTACTTTTCTGCCCCAGATCTACACCAGATATATTTTTTTTACATTTCCCTTGCTCTGTTTAGGTGATAATTTTTTATCTAAAACTCACAAAGTAAAAAAATAAGGTCAGTGGGTCACAGACGTTTTCGTCAAGGAAGGTACCTTGATGCTGGTGAGGGACTCTTGATCTAAGAAATTTAACTTATCTTCCTCTTCCTTAGATCAAATCTGATAGCCCCATATTACCCTACGCACTGT